TATAACCCATAATTACAAGTAGTATCGCGAATTCACGCAATCTGCAATTCATTACAGTACGCACTGATTGTCTGATAACGGCATACAGCGACGCAGCTTCCTCAGTTTCCGTCTTCACGTCCTTACTGGCTGGCGATTGTCTCACAATTAACTCGACGTTGCTAGGCAGTGGCTTAGGAGCGACAGTCTGCCTCCCAAATTCTAACTGCAGACACACAGTGTGGGCTGGTTGTCTCCAGTCAGTCACAGTTACTTCACNGTTATCCTCTCTGACAACAGGATGAGTTCGTCTCTTATGAATATGCTTCGCCTTTCGTCAAGTGCACGTATCGTACATATAGCATGTGATTGCAAATTCTACCTTGTGCACTGTATACAAGTCCTCTGTCCGTCCAGGCTTTTTGCAAAGCAGTTTAAATACTTATAAATGCTTTTTGTGTGNACGCCACGCCCCTTGAGGATCACGATTTTTATAAAAGATAAAACAACTCCATCCAGTATGACTGTTGATGTTTTTACTAATTCAATTCTTAACACCCTTACATGTTTCGNTCGCAGCGTCCTCTTGCACTGTGTAGGTCTGATTTGCTTCCTCCTTCTTGCCCTCTATGTGCAACTTCGGTTAATATTCTCCAGTCGTTTTCTCCCTACTGTCACTACATGTTTCGGCCCAACTGTTCAACACCAGGTGTACAGGCTGTTGTCATGAAGGTATCTGCCGCTCACTGTGATTCAGTTCCTCTTTGATCCAAGACAGATACAAAAAAAAAAGACATTACAGTGAATGCCAGATTCCTTCATCGCAACAACTGTACACCTAAAGGAAATTATTTTAGGACGCTCACAGAGAGTCAGAGTAGACGGGGCGCCTATCTGAAGAAGACAGAGTGAGGTCGGGAGTGCCTCAAGGGAGCGTTTTAGGACCGCTACTATTCCTGGTTTATGTTAATGATATTTGGAGGGACATTGACTAAAATATACGGTTATTTGCAGATGGTTGCATGATAAACAGGAAAATACTGGATAGCAGTGACACTGGCAAGTTACGGACGGATCTAAATAAATTAGAGGAATGGGCGGTACTAAACGAAATGAAGATAAATCCGGATAAGAATAAAGCAGTAAGTTTCAGGATCGACTGACGTATTATTTTGGGGATCGATTAATTCCGGAACTAAATAGCTTTAAGAACCTAGGAATAATCATACACAGCGATCTAAGATGGGCAGATCATGTAAACTATACAGCACGAAAAGCATGGAAGGCTCTTCATTTAATAATGCGTATATTGAAACAGGGCAATAATAACACGAAACGTCTAGCCTATACNGCTTCACACTTATTAGAAAACGCCCATCCGAAAACCAATCTTTGTTCCTAAACTCTCAAACACCTGCCACTGTAGTGGAGAAAACTGGCAAATTCTTTAATTAAAACATCGCATTACAAGCGCCATATAATACGAAGACATATCGCAAATGACTCGTGATTGACTTCTTTTATTTTTCCCCTTGGCACTACAGCCCCAGTGGGCCTAGGCCTNATGGTTGTTGTATAGTTGCTTGTTTCGCGGTCGTTGCCAAGTAACATGCTGCAATATTAAATGTAATTAATAAAAATAACCATAAAATATGAAGATATTATGATGATTAATTAAATAGCCTACCTTCATCTAAATCTACCACGGATTGTGAACGAGTAATTAAGCGTAAGTGATCTGAGAACCGATGAATGAGGCTTTCATCTGTGCAGTTAATGTAACATATCTCGAACTTCACGCGTGGTGTTGTTGCATCTAAAGTGTATCGTACGAGTAT